AAGAGTTTGAAATGAGCTATTAGCTATTTGATCCGTATCAGAGCTAAGAAAAAAAATATTATTTTTCTAGAACAAAAAGGTTGCAGCTGGTCAGGCTGCAGTGTCAGTTTGATCTCCGGTTCTGACCCTGCATCACCCAGCCTTTTTCCACCATAGCTGGTCCTCCCAGATGGCCATGAAGTTGACCTTTGATAGACATGTCTATTGACTGGTAAGTGAGAGAGAGCCCATGTTGTTGTCTGTGAATAACTTCTCATGCAGCCTTAATGTATTCATAGAGGCGAGTCTGGTGATGGGGTGATGGCGGAGCCAATTCTCATTCCTGTTTCTATTCAGCTTCTGTTCAAAGATGAGGAAAAGAGAGGCTCTACCAGAGCCCTAGATGAACTTACTGGAGCCGTACAATGAGATCTTTTGTTCCCTCCCAGGAGTATTACTACATGTTTTGAACGCTTGCAGTCCGTTTGTCTTTTGCTACAGTTTAAATTCATTACAGGATTAAATGGGCTGACAGTTGCAGACAAACCTCAAGGGTGTCCCCCTAGCCCTATGTTGCTGCATGTGAAAACAGCATATGGGAAAACATTGTTTAATCCAATTGTTTGTGTTTGTGATAATCTGATCCTTGTAGATCAACCAGATCCCTGACTTATTTTAGAGTTGGAAAAGGTTTAGCAGCACATTATTTGCAATGAGGCAATCTGCATTTATTTTGAAGAAATTGATCAAATGTTACTTTGCTTTTAGGGCCCACCAAAAAACATAGATTCAATATAAAACAGTGCAGCTGAAGATGTGAGATGCAGTAAACACCATGAAGAAATTCTAGGGTCCAGCCAGTAATTTATTGTATAAAATTACTTCCCTCCTGACAGGTTTGTGATGCTTGAAGAGGCTCTGAGCCTGCCTTAGCTCAGCTCAGCGTAGTGTCATTAGCTCCCACGATCTGCATCTGAGCCAGTGTTTACATCTACATCCATGCTTTATGCTCTAGTGTGGTCATTCCTAGCCTTGTACTTTCCAGAATACGTCAATTTTTATGGGAATTTAGGCATATTTCACTGCTGTTAGTCACTCAGGCTGAAGTTCGATGGTTTTATTGGGGCCTCTAGTGGTCTCAAGACTACATTACCAAACCAGAGTTGCTGTTTGGGGATGGTGAGAAAGGATTGCTTTCCTCCCTCCCTTTGAGTGGATTTACCCAGTTACGGGGCAAGGGCAGTGCCATACAGATAATTTATTTGGATTCTAGTGGAGCATCTTACATGGAGTTAGAACTGACCATGCTGAAGGAGCATAAATAAATGGTAATAAACTGTAACAGAGCGTGAAGGAGGAGATGAAGGTTAGCCTGAGAGGTCTCCATGTCAGGCAGTGGTCACAGGCTGGTTTCTCCCAGCTGCACGCCTCATTGCTTTTTAAATTAGGAAGTTTTCAGGACACTGGTAAGGGCAAAAAGATAAACTGTCCTAAGAAAAGTATAGAAGTAAGGCAGGAAACAACAAGCCCTTCATGTACCAGCATTAAGACTGCCACAAAAAAAGGACTTTCTGTCCAGCGAGGCAGTTTTGAGCTCTGTGTGAGCAAGCTGAAGGCTTTCAGACACCATGGTTCTCCTGCCCCAGACAGGGTGTCAGAGATCAAAAGTTTGGTCTTTATTTTCAATACAAATCATCTTTTCGATAGTGTATTTGAGCTTTTGTGTAAGTTTTAAAATCCTTTTACAGCTAATTTAGCTTGGAAAACTCTCAAACCAAATCTAGCTCAATGTTGTGCTCCTTGTAAAGTATCTTTTAACACTTTCCTGAGCAAAAACTGTGTAGATTCTGAAGTGTCCAGCTCAGGAAAGTGAAATCTACTTGTGATGAGAGAGAAACTTGAGTCTCATTGCTCTCAGCTAAGCGGTTCTGAAATAGGGCCCTGTCAAGAAATGCCCCTCATTTTCACAGCTGTGCTGCAAAGGCCAGGCAGCTGCTGGCTCTGGTGTACATTTTCCATGTTGCCTGGGTGGCCAACCCTGCTGATTTGGGGACAGTTAGCATTGTGTCATTGCCACTGGAGTTTGGTGGTTTTTTTTCCTTTTTTTCCCCCCCCTCATTGTATCCTCCTTCTTCCAGGGTGTGCCTGAGTAATGACTCAGAGTGAAAAAATAGTGCTGTTAGGCTACATGCAGGAATGTGCCTTGCTCACATAAAATAAAGGTTGATGCTTTCTTAGTTTTGAAAGAAAATGACTGGCAGTCTTAACTGAAAATTCTTGTTGAAAGAGGAGGTTTTTCGATTCAGGCATTGCTCATTACACACCCAGCTGCAGTTCCACCGATGTCGGTATGATGTGTAGCTTGAGTAGGATAACAATTTGGGTTTTAGTAAGTAATTGTTTTAAATATTACTCATTGCCATTGTCAAATAAGCGCACTGTTCTCTTTGTAAACTTCTCCAGCAGGATCGTCTCTGAAGAGACATTACATGTAGGACTTACTGGGTTATACAAATAATTGAAATTCAGTGAAACTTCTCAGCCTTTCTCGGGGATGAAGTTTTGTTGTTGTTTTCTCAGTTGGAAGATTGCTGGTTGCTTGGAGGGATGCTGCTGAACTGTGAGGTGGTTTGCAGCACCTACTGCCTGTAGTTCATTGGGACCTGCAGGTTTGGGGCAAAGGGAAGAACTACTGCTGGGTTGCATGGAAAGGTTTTAAACTGATGTTTGATCTGGAAGCTGTTGGAAAGAAGTCTAATGGTGCTTCCTAGGATTAGTGGGGAGAGAGCTATCAGTTGCAATGCAGTTGTGTTTGGTGTCTGGGCCTCTTGTCAGCCTGTTTCCTACCAAAATCTGTGCTGCTTGGTCTTAGGTATTTCTGTTGCTTGTTTGTTTTGTATGTGCACAGGTAGGTGAATCACTTCCTTGTACCAAACCACAGGAAAACTTACCTGAGAAGTCTTTTCTTGAAGGCAGGACTGAGGAATGGGAAACAGATCTAAAAAGTATAATTCGGATAAGATCCATTCTGTATATTTCTCTTTATTTTGGATGTGTTGCCCAGAAAAATCCTTGGTCCTGGGCTAGCCACCTAAGAAGCAGATACAGGTAAAATTTGGAGAAAAATCAGGAGAGGAAGGAAGAACTTTCTCCAGTATGTTTCATCACAAATTTTCATTTGGTGTCTCATCTTGGCTTTCCTACAAGGCTTTGTCTTCCACAACATTTTTAGTTCACTGGAGGTGCTGCACAAACCAGAATCTCCTCATTTGTTTTCATAAAAGCTAGTGGAAAAAAATGATATTTGGTCCCTCTTGGAGAAAAGCTTGCTTCAGGGAAGACAGAATTTAGAAATGTCAGGGGTAAAATATAAATGCATGCAAAGTGAAATAGTCTTTCCTCTTTCACATAACTGCGTAACAGCTCAAAATAGCCTGTGGACAGTTGTGTATGGCTGTCAACTGCTTTGGGGTTTTGAATAGCTTCCTAATACAACGTGGTGTCCTAAGAGGGTCCAGCCCTACCCAATTAGTAACAAACATCGGTTCATGTTTGTTTCTTCTGGGTCTCTGTGTGGTCCCATGCAGTCTCGTTAGTGGAGCTGCTCATTTAGAGTTAAAAGAAGAGAAGACTCCAAAGATCTTGCAAAAACTTAGTGCACTGCTTCTAAAATTAGAGCTTTTTTTCCCCAGGATAAAACCACATCAACCAAACATTCTGTGAAATTGTGTTTTGTGGATGGGCCGTGAGTGCCTGCCTAAGATACCAGAGGGGAAAACATGCGGAGCTGACACTTGCCACAGCATAATTTTCAGTTTTTTATTGGAAGTGAATGTGTCATATTATTGAGATCATCTAGAGTTAATTTGAATCAAAAAACCTGTTGTGGGTTGCAGTTAAAATGAATTTAGCAGGGTAAATGCACACTGGAAACGGAAAATACAAAACCCCAAATGCTAGGACCAAATCCACAAAGTAATAATTCTTAAATGAAGCTACATAACATAATTAAATGTTAGCTTCTGACTTAGCCTCCTGTTGACTATTTCCTCCTTGAAGTAGTAAGGACCTGAAGCAGGAGGACCACTGAAATGGATAAGTGAACTGTAAGCGTAGCTTGGAGCGCATCTACAGTACGCAGGTTTAATCTGCATTGTCTTTTTTCTTTTCATACAATAAGCACAGGATAAAACACTTGCTTTTCTTGGCTTGGAATATCTTTAATTGCATATGAATTCCTATACATTTTATAACAGTATAGCAATTTGTCCTTAGCAGTTGTCTGCTTAAATGCAGATAAATGCTTTGCAATTGAAGACTTACAACTTTTTAGGAAGAAATTGGAAAATAGGACAAAATATTGCACAAGGATATTGCAGCTCATTTTCCAGTATGGTATTTTTTCACCCCAAACCCCAGAAATTGTCAAGGCCTGTAACTTGAACTAGGTTCATACAGGTTTAGGCATATAGCTCCATGCCTCAGTTCAGGTCATCTCCTTTTTCTTGCCTGCTGCTGTAAGCCTACGAACTTCATTCATTTTGACATAATGTGGAAATGAATGAGGTGAAACATCCCTGAGATGGGTTGCAATGGGTTGCAAGAGACAGAAACATTACATCTTTCCAAACCCCACCCTGTCTCTGAGATTGTTGTCTCCTGCAAGAAGGTGTCACTCCTTGCTGATTTAGACTTTACACTCTCAGTGAAGGGGGAAGATGTCGCTAGCTGGAAGAGCAGTCAATGCCTTACAAATCCTAGAAAATCATCAAGTATTGGAAAGCTGTATCAGTCTGTGGATGCAATACCCGGACAATCCCACTTGCGTTATTGTGGGGCTTCCCAGTAGCATTCCAGGATTTAATTTTTGCTTACCTTGTGTGTCCTTGAATAACACCTCTCTGTGGGAATGCTTTCTGAATAAACCTGTGCCAAGTATGAAATATCAGAGGTGACAGAGCAGTCTGCAAGTCACCAAGTTGCTGCGTCTTTGCTGGTTAATGTTTGTTGGCCGGGCAGCGATGACCGATAAGGTCAGTGAAGCAAAGCCTGGAGTCTTAAAACCATTGTGGTGGTTGTAGTGTGGTGGCTTGCCCTAAAGCCCCTAGTTATGGATGTGGGACAACTAATGGAAAAAAAAGGAAGCAAGTCCAGGGTTACTGGGGCAAGGATCTTAATTATGCTGTTGGTTTTGTGAAAGGTTGTTGAGAAAGAATTTGGAGACCACTGTGATAGCGAAGCAAGACCAGGGTTACTGGGGCAAGGATCTTAATTATGCCGTTGGTTGAGAAAGAATTTGGAGACCACTGTGATAGCTTGGTGGTATTTTTCTGGAGCTCCTCCAAACCTGAGAGGATGGGTGGGTGGAAAAGAGAAGATCTGAAGGTACACATGTGAAAGATCGTTAGCTTTGAGAGGGGTGTGATTAATTTCCTGGCTTTTTGCATCTGAGTCACAAGGCACACACTGGTGAGCACGCAAGAAACACTAAGCAGCAGCCTCAAGTTGTGTTCTCAGAAAGGATTTGTGGCTAGGGTTTTTTTTTGGTTAGGATCTTTTTGGTTTGCTCACTTTGACTGTTAAGCCAGCTTCTTAACCTTGTATTTATATGAACCAAACCACATTGTTTTGGAAATTGGAGCACCTCAGGCAGGTGGGCTGCTGTTGACAAGGGGGTTCCCCCCAGTGCAGGAACCCTAACTTCATCAGAGGGTACAGTTTGGCAGCAGAACCAAGCTGATGTAGTCTCTTGTGGCCAGCAGGAGGGGAGGCACTCCTGTCTTCCCCGCTGCTGACCAGCTCCCATGGCTTCCCCAATACATGTGTACAGCAGGCACATTTTAAGTCCTGCACCTGAAGATGTCTTAGTCCAAGTCTTACCAGTGGAACTTGGGCTTCTCAGTCACAGTATTTTTGAAGATGTTTTCCTGCAGCACATCTTACATCTTCCTCAATAAGGTTACCTGTAAGACTAATAGTAATTCCTCAGTTAGGTGACCTACTGTATACCTGAGGAGGACGGAGCTGAGTCCTGCATTTATTACACACCACCAACTCCTGGTCAATAAATAACTGCACGCATAAGGAGTACAGGACAGACCTTGTGCAAGTGCAGATGAATTATTCAGCTCCTCTGGAATGTACAGCCTTTGATCAGGCTCGAAGAGTGGCTGTGTGACAAATGACAAGATTCACTTGCCATAGCTGATGACAGTGATGAGTTTGTGTATACACATTTCTCCCGCTGTTCAGTTGAAACGTTCAGTGTTTTGCATTTTGCTGTCTTTTCTTGATCTGTTGAGTGTTTTCTAGGGGAGGGATGTTCTACCCCTACCACAAGTTACAGTTTTTTGGTTAAAAAAATGCATAACTCTATACATGAATAATATGGATTCATGTCATTGAAAAGAAAAGTGGAAATGGGAGGGCTCCTGGTACATTAGGTGCAAACACAAGGAGAATCAGGTGTTCAGCACAAATATCCTCTGAAATAATAAACAAATGTTTTGTATAAATAGCATCTCATTCAGTAATAACATAAGGCTGGAGAACAGTTCAGTTCATGGCTTGTGTTGAAAAATACAGCACGGAATGACTGAGTCAGGCAGGCTGACGCTGGGGAATGGGATCATTTGTTTTGCGCGGTTTTGTGTTTCAGAAGGAGGCCTGCCTGCTGCTGACGGGATGTGGGTTTTTTTGAATTTGGTTTGCACATAGGGTTCTGGAAAGACAGACGGGTATTGTGAGAGGGGATTGCCAAACTGTGTGATAAACAAAAGCAAGTAAAATGATGGGAAGTTGTTCGTTCATCACGTGACAGGAGTTTTAGCATAACTTTCCTTTTGTTGTTTGAGCATCATTAACAAAACCCACAGACTACAGTACACCCAAGTTTCTAGCAGCTTGGTAATAATTTACCATTAGATCAGATGGCTGTAGCTGAGGGTAGAACAGGAATCAACATGCTGCTTTTTTGAGCTGGCAGGGAGGAAATGGGGAGGTGACAGGCAGGGGTGCAGGGGACTTGGTAGTGGCATACCTGTTTCTCAGTCATATGATGTCTGTTGTTCCTGTTGCTCGGGAAGGATGCTGTGCCTCAGAACTCAAAATGTGGGGAGAAGGAGATAAGAAATTTTGTCACCTTCAGGCAGTTTTACAGAAGAGAAAGTAACTGAAGGACAGGTTGTCACTGATGTCAGGCTTTTGCTGTTTTGTCTATAGGGCTGCAGAAATCGCCATGTCCTGTGGTATATCTTCATGTTTTGTTCTTTTTGCAAATTCCCTTTCTTATTAAACATAGCATCTTTTTGGCTTTGCCTTTAGATCACCCTGCTTTTCAGGGAATCCCACTTCTTGCTCATCATTCAGTAGCTGTTTCCACAGAGCTTCTACTCTGAACGTTGCATGGTAGTGTTTTCCTGCCTTAAGATTGGCTTTTTCCTTTGTAGTCTCTTCCTTGGCCACTTCTTCATGAAAGACTACAGACAGGCTCTTGACCTGAGTACAGACAAACATTTCCTCACTTCCTGATAGACTTGCAGTTTGGCTGGGCTCTTGTATATTCAGAAAGGTTGAGGAGGAGCCTCGCGCTTGTACGTAGGACATCTGCATCCCAAGTAATTTATTCATCAATGACCTGGACGAGGGGACAGTGTACCATCAGCAAGTTAGATGACGACACAAAACTGGGAGGAGTGGCTGATATGCCAGAAGGCTGTGCTGCCATTCAGCGGGACCTGGACAGGCTGGAGAGTTGGGCAGAGAGGAATTTGATGAAGTTCAACAAGGGCAAGTGTTGAATGCTGCACCTGGGGACGTTGAACCCCATGCACCAGTACAGGCTGGGGGATGACCTGCTGGAAAGCAGCTCTGCTGAGAGGGACCTGGGAGTCCTGGTAGACGACAAGCTGACCATGAGCCAGCAGTGTGCCGTTGTTGCCAAGAAAGCCTGGGGTGCATTAAGAGTAATGTGGCCAGCAGGTTGAGGGAGGTTCTCCTTCCCTTCTACTCTGCCCTGGTGAGATCCCACCTGGAGTACTGTGTCCAGTTCTGGGCTCCTCAGTTCAAGAAAGATGAGGAACTGGAGAGAGTTCAGAGGAGAGCAACAAGGATGATAAAGGGACTGGAGCATCTCCCCTGTGAGGAAAGGCTGAGAGAGTTGGGCTTGTTCAGCCTGAAGAAGAGAAGACCGAGAGGGGACCTCATCAACCCATACAAATATCTTAAGGGTGGAAGTCATGAGGACGGAGCCAGACTCTTCTCAGTGGTGCCCAGCAACAGGACAAGGGGCAATGGGCACAAACTGAAACATAAGAGGTTTCGGTTGAACATGAGGAAAAACTTCTTTACTTTGAAGGTGACAGAGCACTGGAACAGGCTGCCCAGGGGGGTTGTGGAGTCTCCTCCTTGGATGATATTCAAAGCCTGCCTGGATGATGTCCTGTGTAACATGCTGTAGGTGAACCTGCTTTAGCAGGGGGGTTGGACTGGATGATCTCCTGAGGTCCCTTCCAACCCTTGCCATTCTGTGATTCTGTAATGTCCTTTGTGTCCCGAGTTGTCAGTAGGGCTGTGCTAGAGAAGACCAGGCGTTAGTTCTTTGTTGCTTACAAGTGTTCTTTTGCCTAGGAGGTGTGCCCAAACATCTTGCTGTGGCACCGAGACCATCACAGGCTAGAAGGGGGCCTCTCCACTCGAATCTTTTTTCTGGTGCATTTCTGCTTACTGTAAAGCTGGAGGGGTTGCTTCTAGTCAGCTGGCCTGCCTCATTTGTGGAGTGCTTTTTGTAGTCTCTGTTATGGAGAACAAGATGATTTAATGATATCTTCTGACTACTTTTTGTATCTGCTTGGGCCCACAACTGTGATGCAGGGAGCTACTGCTGATGGAGCTACTTGTGGCACCAGCAATGTGAGAGCTGGGGGGCGAGTGTTTTGGGTTTCAAGCTTTGCATTGGGTTGATAGGATATAGCTGCTTATTTTGGGTTAGCTCATGGAATTGCAGAAACAGCTAAGAAACTGTCCAAGAAAACAGGGTGGAAAGAGATGAGACAATTTGAAGTGCTTTGGATAAATGTGTCAACCTCTGCAATCAGCAGGCTTGGTGCTCTCTGTGAGTAAGGCACCATCCAGTATAAAGCTAAGCTGGATTTTCTAGGAACAGCACAGTATAAGGTCCAACCAAAGGGCTAGCCCTTTGAAGGTGATGTTAGAGCAGTCAGGGCTGGAGACTACCTCCGCCTGCACCCACCATGATGCCAAAAACAGACCCAGAGGTGCATGGGCAGAAATCTCCCGTCCCCTCAAGCCTCCCTGGCACAAGGCACTGTGGATCTGCAGCATCAGGCTGGGGGCTTGCCTGTCTGTGGAACACGTATCTCTGCATGCTTGTTTTTGCCTTGTCATGTGTAGCTTTGCAAGGTTAATAGTTGTATTTAATGCCTGATACAATTGCTGAAGTAATCTGCTTGTTACATGACAAAAGTGGCTGCTGCAGTCGGTTGGAGTCAGCTGGCTACAAGAGTCTTGGGAGTCTCAGGAAATCAGAGTTTTCCTCTCAAGCGCCTGCAGACCTCAATCTGGGGTTTTTATTTCACTCCTAAAGGAGCATTTTGTACTGCCATCTGGAGGGAGATGAAATAAACAATTTACAGGCCAGTTTGCACACTAACAGGAAGGGAAATGGCTTATTAGGAAGTAAAAGCATGAAGTTGGAAGACTAAAAAAACATTTTCAAAGCAAAATTCTGGTGTGGTCAGTAATACTAGCAGAGTAGTTTCAGGTTGCAGTTAAATGGCAACTGCTGATACTTTATGGATATGTACACATACATAAACTAGATTTTAGAATATATACTAAGTGTTTTGAACTTTGACTACACTGAGTTTGTTTCAGAAAATGCAAAATGTTCTTTTGTGAGAAGTAATAATAAAATTTATACAGCAATAGGATGAAAGGAAAAATCTTAGGGATAAAAAAGACCTAATTTGCATCTGCTGCTTTTTCTGGGATGGTGTCGAAGATACTAACTGAAGTGTCTTTTGACTAAGATCTTGTAGGGTTTGTTTTTAAATTTATATGTGCAAAATAATCAGCAAGTGAAACTAGTTTTTTAAAAAAAAAAAAAGTAACATTTTGCCCGTGTTTGGCTTTTTTTCTCTAATACTTCATACGTTTTTCGGGTTATTTTTATGTCAGTAGATTTTTAGGTATCTCTCTTGCAGGTTGAAAGGTCTGGAGTGTAGCAGTAGTGCTTTGGGTTGTTTTTTTTTTTTTAACTGATTCTGCCCCCACCCCCACCCCCCCATGTGTTAATTAACCCAAAATTTACTTTATTTGAGCTTCCAGTAGTTTTAAAGTTTTAATTTTTTTTTTTTCCAGGTCAGATGTACAGTTGTCTGTAAGTATCATTCTGTTACTCAATTATATATTTCTAATATAACTCTCATTAGCTTGATTTCTTTTAAGAAAGATCGAACAGTATCAGCTAAGTATTTAATTCATCTGAAAATAATTTCTAGAAATAGCATTCAAAAATGTAAACTCACTTATTTTAGTGACTGTAATTCCTGCAATGTGTTTTATTTAAAAGGATATTTAAGGATATAAATGGTTGTAAAGAGTTCTTGTAAAATTAAGTACAAATATAATGTGCTTATGAAGATTGGAAAATATACTTTGCCTTTAGGCAATACAAAACAAACCCCAAAACAAAAAAAGACACCCGAAGTGATGCTTTAAGGATTTTCTGAAGCGAATATAGCAACTGCTGTACTTGCCAAGATGACAAGTTTTCATGTGGCAAAAATTTCCAAAAGTGCTTGCAGATGAGTTCTACCTTAATATTGAACATCTGACTTGCATGACTTAGCCTTTAAATTTTAGGGCTTGAATCAACTCTCTCCACACTTTGAGCTGCACTATATAAACCTAAAGTTGTTTTCTGTAGATATGTTGTGTCTCTTCCTTACTTGTGGGAACACACCGTGTGAATATGAGAACTTTTTTGCTCATACACTGGGGGGAAGAGACAAAGTTTCTACGCCAGATTGAGTAAATAGGCTCTTCTGATACTATGTGAGAAAAATACACATGCAGAATGTGGCTGCAAGTCTCTTGTTTGAAAAGAACAGAACACTGCACTGAAAAAATGGCAGATTGGTGTGTTGTAGCTTTCATCCAAACCGTGGGTAGAGTCAGTGAATGACCAAAATAACGTGGCAATCTCTTAATCTAAATTAAGTCACCTGGCAGAAGTTAAAAGTGGTAAAACCAGGAAGCGTGCAGTGAAATCTATGCAGGAGAACAAACTGGGAAAACAGAAGTGACTATGGGTCTGTGCGTGCTATCTAAAAATGACTGTACTTTTGCAAATGGGAAACCCAGAAGTTTTGTAAAGATACTTATTGCTTTGTATTCTTTCAGGCACTGAGGATTGCAGTTCAAAAAATGTAACTGCTGAACCAGGAACCAGTAGTAATGATAATTTATCAGTAAACTTTACAAGTGAAAACAAAACCTATGGAGGTGGAAGACCGTCCAGGGATGTGTCAGTATCTGACAGTGCAGGAAGTGATCAGAACAGTGTAACACGTAAGTGGCTTGGAATGTGACTGGGATGTGAATCTTCAGCTTGTTTTGTGCTTTTGTACTGTGTTAGCATTTTAAGCCCAAACTCTTAGTCCAGAGTGCAAAGAGTATGCAGGGGCGTGGATCCAACTCCTTTACTGGAGTAGAGAATGGGCCGAAGAAATGTATCTGCATGGCTGACTGAGAGTGCAATTTAGCACTGAAATTGTTGTGTGGCCTTGAAATAGTTTTATCGCTGTTAGACTTGGGCTCCCTTCACTGCTTATTATGGCTTTTTATGTTACAGCTGCAACAGTTCAAACATGCTGTGACATACAGATTTGAAATACCTATGTAACAGAGTACAGCTGAAGTACTCTACCTAGTATAGAGGGCATTGTGTATCTAGGGGAAAGCCGTGTGGATCTTGCAGTTACAAAGTCTTCTCTTTGGGATAGCCACCTGAGGAAAAAAACAGTGGGTTGTGTGTTCCAATCTTTCTCAGCACCCTGCATGAAGTTGACAGCTGAGGCAGGTCAGTAATCACTACTGCACCTAGACAGTTTTACTCCTTGAGATGAAGTGAAACTTGAGGAGTTAGAGTAGACTGCAGAGCTAGCAAGTGTGCCTTGCAACATATTAGGATGGCTTAATTATTTTCCCTGGCTGATTACTGTTTTACAGAGTCCTGTTGTTTGCATAGGGTGGGGAGAAGAGCACTTTATGTGTTTGTCAGCAAATATTCTTGCGGGTTAATTTTTTTTTTCCTTGCCTTTCACAGAACCCAGACCAATCTATGGTCTCAAGGCAGAATATGTTGGTATGACTTCTGTCAACTTAACGTGGAAGGTGAATGACAGTGCTTCCAGCTCCTACACATACAGGATAGAGGTAACCATTGCCAATGGTACCTCTATTAGTAACGTGACGTCCAATGTCACTGCAGCTGAAATTACTGAGTTAATCCCTGGGACACTGTATAAATTCACAGTATTTGCAGTAGTGAATGACAGTGAGACGGAAGAAGGGGAGCCCATACATCTGTATACAAGTAAGTCACAGCTTCTTGCAGCCCTGTTCTGGTGGGCAGCTCAGAACTCTGCCTACCTGCCTGAGGGCGGAAATAGAAATATATAGACGTGATGTTTTAGTCCTGGTGCCTAATCTGGGCTGTCTACTAAGCATGAGGTCTTAATGTGTGGAAGACGTATATGCCTGCTTTAAAAAAAAACAAAGCAAAACCAGCCAGACAAAACCCACCTTCCTTTCCCTCTGTCCTCATCTCATCATATCTCCTCATATGGGAGATAACTTCTTGTCGCAGGTACTCAGTGAGCAAGTAGGAAAGATGCCCTCCTAGATCTGCTATTTGTGAATAGAGAAGGACTACTGCGGGATGTGGCTGTCTTGGCCAGAGTGGTCATGAAGTGGTTGAGTTTGAAAATTCTCAGTGTACTAAGACAGTGAAGTTGCTACTCAGGACTTCAGGAGAGCAAACTTTAAGGTATTACCTGCTTTTGAGAGCTTAGGAGTCCACAAGTGCTGGTCAGTTTTTAAGAACCACCTTTTAGAAGCACAGCAAACAAGTCAAGCAAGTGAGGCAAAAGACCAGCGTGTCTGAACAGGGAAATCCTTGTGGATCTCAAGAGGAAAAAGAAATTGTATGATCTCTGGAAGCAAGGTCAGGCTTTGCAGGAAGATTACAGAGCTGTGGTTCATATATGCAGGAAGAAGACATGAAAGGCCAAAATGCAATTAAAGTTGAAACTGGCCAGTGTTGCACTGGACAAGAAAAAAAAGGCTTTTTAAAGTATGTTAATAGCAAGAGGAGGTCTAAAGAAAACATTAGACCGATACTTGTTGAAGTTGGTCACCTGACTAATAGGGGTGAAGAAAAAGCAGAGGCATTCAATGCTTTTTTTTTTCCTCAGTCTTTAATAATATGGATAGACCTTGGGCTTCCCGGTTCCCAGAGTCGGAGGACCACAAGTGTGGGAACAGTGACTTTCCATTTGTGGACACTGAAATTGTAAGGGACCAGCTGGATGTTCTCAAGTCCATGGGGCCTGATGGGATTCATGAGAGTACTGAAGGGCTAGCGGATGTTATGGCAGGATCCCTCTCGATCACCTACCACAGGTCTTGGGAGTCTGGGGAAATCCCTGCTGGCTGGGAGGTAGCCAATGTCACTCCGTTTTATGAGACGGGCATGAGGGAAGGCTGAGGGTACTACAGACCTGTTAGACTAATCTCAGTTCCTGGAAAAATTATGGAGAAGATCATACTGTGTCCTATTGAAAGGCATTTAAAGAATAATCATCAGTCAACGTGGGTTTACAAAGGGAAATTCCTGTTTAACCAGTTTGGTATCCTTCTATGGTAAGGTCACCTGCCTAGTGGATGAAGGGGAGGCACTGGATGTAGTTTTTCTGGATTTTAGCGAGGCTTTTGATACTGCCCCCATTCTTCTGGACGAGTTGTCCAACTGCGGGATGAGCAGGTTCATGGTGCGCTGGGTGAAGAACTGGCTGAAGGGCAGCGCTGAAAGGGTTGTAGTGAATGGTGCTACATCTGGCTGCTTGACTGGTCACAGCAGTGTTCCTCAGGGCTCAATTCCAGGGCCAGTTCTGTTCGGTATGTTTGTCAATGATCTGGATGCAGAAGTTGAATGCACCATTAAGCAAGTTTTCTGATGAAACCAAAGCGGGAGGTGCTGTTGACTTTCTTGAGGGACAAGAGGCCTTGCAGAGGGACATAGATAGATTGGAGCATTGGACAAGGATTAATGGGATGAAAGTCAACAAGTCAAAATGCCAGATTCTACACCTGGGATGGAGTAATGCTGGGCACAAGCATAAATTGGGAGAGGAGTGCCTGGAGAGGAGCCCTGCAGAAAGGGATCTGGGTGTGCTGGTTGACAGCAATGAGTCGGCAGTGTGCCCTGACAGCCAAGAGGGCAAGTCGCATCCTGGAGTGCATCAAACACAGCATCTCCAGCTGGTCAAAAGAGATGATTATCCCGCTGTATTCAGTGCTAATGCAGCCTCACCTTGACTTCTGTGTGCAGTTCTGGGCCCACAATTTAAGAAGGATGTGAAGGTACTGGAATGCGTCCAGAGGAGGTCAAAAAAGCTGGTGAAAGGGCCGGAAGGAATCCCACTCAATATGACTTTTCTTCCATTCCCTCTCAGCTGCCCATTGATGTAAAAGCATCCATGAGTGTCTGGTGATGTTGTTGGGGTGCTCCTGCACTCTGAGCGATGAATGATGTGATGAGAGCAAAGCAGTGGTGTGCCTGTGTTTCTTCTGCCCATGTACACGAGCGGGTGTTCTTGCAGGCTGGCAGATTGTTGTCTTGCCTTTCACAGAGCCCAGCCCAGTCCATGATCTCAAGGCAGAATATGTTGGTGCTGAGAAAGTCAACTTAACATGGAGAGTGAGTGATGCTGCTTCCAGCTCCTACACGTACAGGATAGAGGTAGCCATTGTAAATGGTACCTTTGATAGGAACCTGACGTCCGATGTCACTGCAGCTGAAATTACCAATTTAATCCCTGGGACGCGGTATAAGTTCACAGTATTTGCAGTTGCAGCTGATAATAAGACAGAAGGAGAAGGACTGCCCGTACACCTGTATACAGGTAAGTTGCAGTTTCTGGCAGCCCTCTTTCTGGCAGACTGTATTTGCTGTGCAGCACAGGGCTCTGCATACCTGACTTGCGGGTTGTAATTTAGTACTGATGCAGGCAAGAGGTGCTGTGCTTTGCCTGTTTCCAGTCAGAGATGTTTGTGTGGAAGGGATATAGCCTTCTTCTTAAAAACAAACTAAAACAAACCCCCTCTAAAACAGCGATTGTTGAAGGTGGTCACCAGGGCCTGCGACACAATAAAGGAACTCTTCCTGAGAGCCTGCCTCCCCGGCCTGGGATTTGTGTGGGCAGTTTTTCTGCCTTCACTTTTTGGAGGATGGGGGCCTTGGACCCTTATTTTAGAGGGCTCCCCCACACAGAGCATATGCCCAAGGAACTTTTGTGATTTGGGGGCCTGTGGCTGCCGTTGAGCTGCAGCAGGAGAGTGATCTTCAGGCAGCGCTAGCTCAGGAGTAAGCTCAGGGCATGAAGGGTGCCTGGGTTATCACCTCTGTTCCTCTCCCAATGACACTTGATGTTCCTTTACGTTTTGCTGTGCACAGACACACAACCATCTTCTTTTCCCCCCTTTGCCTGTAACCTTGTATCTTTCCTGACCGCATCTCTGAATTCATGGGAGCGCTGTCAGAGTGGTGAGCTGTGCTTCTGCTTTGGAGTGTCAAAGGGAGATGAATCCCACCCAGAATGACTTCTCGTTGGTTTTCCCTTAGCTGTCCATTGATGCAGAAGCCTCGAGGAGCATCTGGTGGTGGTGTTGGAGTGCTCCTGCACGCTGAACGATGAGTGTTGTAGAGACAGCGAAGCAGTGGTGTGCCTGTGTTTCTTCTGTCCGTGTACATGAGCGGGTTCTTGCAGGTTGATGGATTGTTGTTTTGTCTTTCACAGAGCCCAGCCGAGTTCTTGATGCCAAGGCAGAATATGTTGGTGTGACTTCTGTCAACTTAACATGGGTGGTGAATGACACTGCTTCCGGCTCCTACACGTACAGGATAGAGGTTGTAAATGATACCTCTATTAGGAACCTGAGGTCTGGTGTCACCGAAACCGAAATTACCGATTTAATCCCTGGGACGCGGTATAATTTCACAGTATTTGCAGTAGCAGCTGATAATAAGACAGAAGGAGAAGGATTTCCCATAAGCCTGTGTACAAGTAAGGAACTGGTGCCTCTCAATTGCAAGTAAACATGCAGTTTGTACCAAATTGCCCTGCTTTTTTATCTTGGTTCTCCGGCTTTGTACTATTTCTCATTCTAATTTTGCTTTGCTCCAGGTGCCTGTGAGCATGATTGCCGAGTGGTCTTTGGTAAAAGGGAAAAGGACTGAGATTTTACATGTCTCTGTGTGTGCATGCGTGCATTGCCTATAAAGCAGTTATTTCATCAGCTTTGCACTTCAAGACTATGTAGAGATCCACCTGCTACAATAGCATGACTTTCTCTAGACTTGGGGGCTGAATGGGTCTTCTACAATGCTTCTGGGAGCAGGTTATCACTGCTTATACCAAAGGACATGGTGTGCAGGGATGCGGTGTCCAGGATCACACAGGGTTTTTGTTCCTGTTAATTGTTTTAAACTCTTTCCAGAGTCCCTGGAAAGAGTAGGCTGTGACAGTGCCTAGGGCCACAGTGATGAGTTTGGTGCCATTTTTGTTGGCTTTGTGCCATTGCACCTTTTCCCAGATCAGAGGGACGGATGGGAGGAGAAGATTTTTTTGTGTCTAGCTCTGGAGTGGAAAGGGAACAGGCAACATCCCTACAAAGCAATTAGAAACAAGGTGTCTTGGAGCTGCTACTGAGTAGATGAGCTTGTCTAAGCTGCTTGAGGTGAGTCTTGCCTGCCTAGTGTTGATGCTGAATCAGGCTTGGAGACACAGCCCTGCAGCATGGGTCAGCTATTGGACCTGCTCAAGGAGGCCATTTCCTTCTGCTGAGGTTGGGCTGAAGGGCTCAGATTGACTTCTGGGCACAATTTTGAGTTAACAGACCAAGATCACCCTGCACTCTTCTTCCTTCCCTGATATCCATCTGTTTCTCTGTCTAGAAACCTGCAGTAGAAACAAATAATTTTAGCATGTGAAATGAAATAAAGAAAGTATCCCCCAGAACTCCTGTGGCCTTTCCAGTGATGCCCCAGCATGAATGTCTAAAATTGGACATTGGTGCTGTAGAAGTGCTGCTTGGCTACAAATAGTGCTTATTCTATGTGGAATAGGGAAATGTGGTTGTGGCTCTTCTTCATTTATTTCTCTGTCTTGATGGATTGTTGTCTTGCCTTTCACAGAGCCCAGCCAAGTTCTTGATGCCAAGGCAGAATATGTTGGTGTGACTTCTGTCAACTTAACATGGGTGGTGAATGACACTGCTTCCGGCTCCTACACGTACAGGATAGAGGTTGTAAATGATACCTCTATTAGGAACCTGAGGTCTGGTGTCACCGAAACCGAAATTACCGATTTAATCCCTGGGACGCGGTATAATTTCACAGTATTTGCAGTAGCAGCTGATAATAAGACAGAAGGAGAAGGATTTCCCATAAGCTTGTGTACAAGTAAGTCACAGTTTCTTGCAGCCCTCTTTCTGGCGGACTGTATTTTGCTCTGCAGCACAGGGCTCTGCATACCTGACTTGAGGGTTGTAATTTAGTACTGTTGCATGCAGAGCTGATGTTTTGGTCCTGCAGCTGGAGATGGTCAATTTGCCAAGCATGGGATGTTAAAGTGCAGAAGCAGCATTGCCCTGATAGAAACCTGTTGGTGAAGTTTATCCCCAAGGCTGACAACGCAGAGAAGATTTTTTTTTTTTTCTTTTTTTTTTCCTGGGAACGTCTATCTTCTAAATTTGGAAAAGGGGAGTGGTTTCATTTCCTAGAGTATGGGGGCCTCAGACCCTTATTTTAAGGGAATCTCACACTGAGCATATTGCACCAAGGGAACTTTTGCAATTTGGGGGCACACAGATGCCATCAGGCTGCACCAGGAAAGTGAGATTTAGGCAATGCTAGTTCAGGAGAACTGCTTTGGCCATCCAACACCTTGCTGTGTTGAGTATCAAAAGTCTTTATGTGGTATTGGATCATTTTGGAGCTGGCCTGCAAAGCTCTAACCCAGTCTGGTTATTCCACAGGGTGTATTTGGAAAGAAACAGATGTCTGTTCTTGTCATTTGTTTTCTCCTGAAATGTACCTGCATGTGTGCTCCTACCTTTCCAGTTGATTCCCAAAAGTCTGTCCTATGCTGCCTGACTGTAATGGCAAGTTGCCCTGTTTTGAAGGTGCACAGACATGGGTGCTGCAGAGAGGGTTTTTGGAGATGGTCTCTTTGCCATAGAAGTGAGCTCAGGGGATGAGGATTGGAGAAAGAGCAGGGTGCGTGGGTCATCACCTTTGTTCCTCTTCTAGTGATATTTGCTGTTCCTTACCTTTTGCTGTGCAGAGATGTACCACCATCTTTCCCCTCTACTCTTTTCTCCCTCCTGCTCACCTCTCTGAATTGACAAGCAAAACGCTGGGAATGCTGAAACCTGATGGCCTGTTCTCTTGCTTTTGAATGTGAAAGGAAGACAAATTGCACTTGAGATGCCTCTCCTTATTTCTATGTTACCCAGCCATTGATGCAAAAACGTCCATGAGTGTCTGGTGATGTTGTTGGGGTGCTCCTGCACTCTGAGCGATGAATGATGTGATGAGAGCAAAGCAGTGGTGTGCCTGTGTTTCTTCTGCCCATGTACATGAGCGGGTGTTCTTGCAGGCTGGCAGATTGTTGTCTTGCCTTTCACAGAGCCCAGCCCAGTCCATGATCTCAAGGCAGAATATGTTGGTGCTGAGAAAGTCAACTTAACATGGAGAGTGAGTGATGCTGCTTCCAGCTCCTACACGTACAGGATAGAGGTAGCCATTGTAAATGGTACCTTTGATAGGAACCTGACGTCCGATGTCACTGCAGCTGAAATTACCAATTTAATCCCTGGGACGCGGTATAAGTTCACAGTATTTGCAGTTGCAGCTGATAATAAGACAGAAGGAGAAGGACTGCCCGTACACCTGTATACAGGTAAGTTGCAGTTTCTGGCAGCCCTCTTTCTGGCAGACTGTATTTGCTGTGCAGCACAGGGCTCTGCATACCTGACTTGCGGGTTGTAATTTAGTACTGATGCAGGCAAGAGGTGCTGTGCTTTGCCTGTTTCCAGTCAGAGATGTTTGTGTGGAAGGGATATAGCCTTCTTCTTAAAAACAAACTAAAACAAACCCCCTCTAAAACAGCGATTGTTGAAGGTGGTCACCAGGGCCTGCGACACAATAAAGGAACTCTTCCTGAGAGCCTGCCTCCCCGGCCTGGGATTTGTGTGGGCAGTTTTTCTGCCTTCACTTTTTGGAGGATGGGGGCCTTGGACCCTTATTTTAGAGGGCTCCCCCACACAGAGCATATGCCCAAGGAACTTTTGTGATTTGGGGGCCTGTGGCTGCCGTTGAGCTGCAGCAGGAGAGTGATCTTCAGGCAGCGCTAGCTCAGGAGTAAGCTCAGGGCATGAAGGGTGCCTGGGTTATCACCTCTGTTCCTCTCCCAATGACACTTGATGTTCCTTTACGTTTTGCTGTGCACAGACACACAACCATCTTCTTTTCCCCCCTTTGCCTGTAACCTTGTATCTTTCCTGACCGCATCTCTGAATTCATGGGAGCGCTGTCAGAGTGGTGAGCTGTGCTTCTGCTTTGGAGTGTCAAAGGGAGATGAATCCCACCCAGAATGACTTCTCGTTGGTTTTCCCTTAGCTGTCCATTGATGCAGAAGCCTCGAGGAGCATCTGGTGGTGGTGTTGGAGTGCTCCTGCACGCTGAACGATGAGTGTTGTAGAGACAGCGAAGCAGTGGTGTGCCTGTGTTTCTTCTGTCCGTGTACATGAGCGGGTTCTTGCAGGTTGATGGATTGTTGTTTTGTCTTTCACAGAGCCCAGCCGAGTTCTTGATGCCAAGGCAGAATATGTTGGTGTGACTTCTGTCAACTTAACATGGGTGGTGAATGACACTGCTTCCGGCTCCTACACGTACAGGATAGAGGTTGTAAATGATACCTCTATTAGGAACCTGAGGTCTGGTGTCACCGAAACCGAAATTACCGATTTAATCCCTGGGACGCGGTATAATTTCACAGTATTTGCAGTAGCAGCTGATAATAAGACAGAAGGAGAAGGATTTCCCATAAGCCTGTGTACAAGTAAGTCACAGTTTCTTGCAGCCCTCTTTCTGGCGGACTGTATTTTGCTGTGCAGCTCAGGGTTCTGCATACCTCCCCAAGGTTTGAAATACAGTATTGTTTCCAGGAGAAGTGCTGCACATGGTCCACCTGCACTCAGCAGTGTTAATGTGTTGGAGAGTGTTCTGTGGGAGGTTTTGTTGCATTCTCCTTTGTGGATGAAGCCTTCAGGCCCTTATTTTGAGGGGCTCCCACACAGTCCATTGTGCCTGGGGAACTTCCCCTGTTGGAGGGGCCTGTGGCTGCAGTTGGCCTGTGGGTAGCCCTGGGCTGTGTGGCTCTCGGCAACGCTGCTCTACTCAGGTCATCAGCAGCAAGGAGAATGTTGAGGTGCTCCTGTGGTCCTCATGCTAGGCATTGTGGCCATTGTTGTGAATATGTGCTGCTGTGTTCTTTTCCTTCTTTTTGTCCCATTTTAACTGAGGTGAAGTGAATCTGTTGCAAAGCTGCTCAGTGGGGTTTCCAGAGGTGCCCCAGCATGACTCCATTAAAAGTATCTCTGGTACTGTGAATGTGCTGCTTGGCTGTTTGTAATGCTCAGTTTGTCCAAAGTGTGGAAGCATGGCTGTGCCTCTGCTTTTTCTGTCTGTGTTTGTCAGCAAATATTCATGAGCGTTGATGGAGTCTTTTCTTGACTTTCACAGAGCCCAGCTCTATTTTCCATATCCAGGCAGAGTATGCTAGTCTGATATTTTTTTTTTTTCCCACGGAGCACGATAATACTTCTAACAACACCTACAGGATAGAGATCCACAAAGTCACAGTTCCTCCTCTAGAAACCAGACATCCAGTGTCACCAGAGCTGTTATTACAGACATAAACCCTGGAGCCTTCTATGATTTCACTGTATTTGTAGGAGTAGCTGACACTGTTACTGAAGGAAAAGAAATATTTATAAAATGCAGTAGAAATAAGTCCCAGTCACTCACATTTATCTTTTAACTATACCTGTTTCTTTTGGTACACAATTCTGCTTCTCCTCAATTTCTTAAAATAATACTCCTTTTTAATAACAAAATAATTTAATCCATGAGCCTTTTACCCCACTTTTAGAAGTACCAAATACTACTTCATCAAGAGAGGAAATAAATTTGCTGTGTGTTACAATTGTGGAAGTTACACGAGTTTTGGTCTCGAAGGCCAAGTTTTATAAGATGCTTAGTTTAGAGGGACCTTTTTTCTCAGTGTTACTGCTACATTGGCTTTTAAAATATCTTTTTGTATCTGGTCATAAGGTTGCAATTTTAATAGTGTCCTGTAGGACTCTCACACAAACTGACATGTAGCTGCCACTCTTCAGGATGGCTACTGCTGTGCTCTTAATGCATGGAGCTTATATTTGTTTTCTTACTTGTTGGCTATTAAGAGCTTTATGTAATTATACAGGGAGTTAGTGTCAATCTACACACTACTTTAAAAATGGTCTTAGAGTAGTATGTTCAGTGGTTGAACAGTATTTTGAAAACTTTACTGATCATCACAGATATTCAACCTAAATTTTCTCAGTAAACCTGTCTGCAGAAGAGTTAGAGAGCACAGAAGAGGTCTGTGTACTTAATGTGCTAAATACTTTTCCTCATAGGGTAGCAAGTCCTTGTAGGCAGTAACTAGTAACTTTGTCTTTTTAAAAGTGGAAAGGAATATTGAAGTTTTACAAATGGTTGTACACAGAACTTACAAATAGGCAGCTTTTTCTGTTTATTACAGCACTTGATTTCTTACTCCTCTTTTTTTTTTTTTTTTTTTTTTTTTTTTTTTTTTTTTTTCTTCCAGTTCCTGCCTTAGTGAACTCATTTCAGTGTGAACCAGTGGCCAAGAAATCTTTCCTAATGCTTAAGTGGGAATGTCCTTCTGGTAAAAATTCTGGCTTCAAAATTAAAATAAGTAATAATGTATGGGAAAAAGAAGAACTGGCTCGACCCTGCATGACAGAAGGCTCAGAGGAAACCTTCAGAACAGCACCTTTAGATTATTTCAGCACCTATACTATTACTATTGCAACTCTTTCAAATAGTTTTGAAAGCACTGCAGTGCAGCAAACATGTAATACGAGCATTACTGGTAAGCATTAAGATTTGAGAATGAAAGACATTTGTAGCATCAGAACACTAACTTCATGATTGCAGAATACCAAACTTGATATGCAGTACGTTATCAGCCTACATAGTGTGAATAAAACACTACATTCATGCAAAGTCTAATGTGATGTACAATAAATATGCATTACATGAACAGCATCAGTACTACAGCATTTTCTTGTTTGGAAAACTTTTCTTTATCAGTCATTAAAGTACTAAAAATATTTCTGGTTTTAGACCCACCTGCTCCAAGCAAAGCTCCTTTAGTCAAGGCAGTCGGTCACAGCTCGTTGTCTGTCGAATTCTCTGATTTTGAGTCAGTGAATGGACCATTAAAAGCCTATGCAGTAATGATCACAACAGAAGAACATGGTAAGATGTTATGATATTCTCTTGCAGCTGTATAAAACAATTTATCACACAACATTATGTTTTAAACTCTCTAACTAGGTGTTAAATAGATAGAGCAAAAGCTGACTCACTATTTTCAATCACCTCTCAAAAATCATAGAATAGTAGAATAGTAGAATCATAGAATCATTAAGTTTGGAAAATTCCTCCAAGATCATCAAATCCAACCATCAACCAAACACCACCGTGCCTACTAAACCATGACCCGAAGTGCCATGCCTACGCGTTTTTTTTAACACCTCCAGGAATGGTGACTCCACCACCTCTCTAGGCAGCCTGTTCCAATGCTTGACCCGTCCTCCTCCTTCCCTCAGTTTCATACACTGAGCGTGACATCATATGGTCTGGAATACCCCTTTGGTCAGTTGGGGTCAGCTGTCCTGGCTGTGCCCCCTCCCAGCTTCTTGTGCACCCAGCAGAGCATGAGAAGCTGAAAAGTCTTTGACTAGCATAAGCTAGCATTTAGCAACAACTAAACTGTCAGTGTGTTATCAACATTATTCTCATACTAAATCCAGAATGCAGCACTATGCCAGCTACTAGGAAGAAAATTAACTCTATTCTAGCCAAAACCAGGACAATCTTGCAGCAGTTTGACTGTAGATCTTTCTTCTGTGGTTTTTCATACAATGTATGTCCAAGAAGTGCACGGAGATACATATAACGTAGTACATCAGTGCAGCAAATTCCTATTTTTCATATGCCTGAATGTCAGTCTCTTGCACAAAGCAACAGCTCTGCTTGTACCTTCAGCCAGTCCTGTTTAGTCTTGATGAGATTCAGTGCATTCTGTGTGGTTTTGATTGCAAGCTATTCAAGAAAGAGGACTTCCAAGATGTGATTGAGAGAAACAAGGAAGGATGATCGCTTGTATTTATAATATAGAGTCTGAGTGTTTTGACAGGAGCAGAAAACCATCCTTACAGGCAGGCATTGCTTCCACTTTTTAGTGTTGATGTAATGTTAATATATTTGAGGTGTGTTTCTCTGTCTTAAAATGGACATCGTTACCTTTAGGATAGACAGAAGGGACTTAATTCGATTGTGTAAGCAATGGTGTCTGAGGCTGTTTGAGATGTCCTAGGGTGACATCCGAGACATCCGTGAGGAGCTGCAGTTATAACCTGGGAACATACATCCTTTTGGAATGGAAACTAGGGACTAAACAGGACATATCATGTAGCTCAGATAGTACTGAACACCCATTTCTAGGCAACTGAGTTAATTGCAACCTCAGCTGCTTTTAATGTAACCAAACTACTGCTTTAGAAGAGCTGTCTTGCACCCTGTTCCTGCACAGTTATGGTTGATGAGAACTTCGCTGCTGGTGGCAATGAGCCATCAGCTCACTGGTGGTATATGAAATCTTGTCTACACAACTCTAGAAAATTTTCTAGAGCTTTTCCACCTTTCAGAGCTCCTACAAGGCTTCGCCTTTTTAAAGTTGAATTCAATACTATACCTGCTTTTAGAAGGAGCTTTTGGCTTTGCAAAGGCAGTCAGTAGAGAGCAATGTACGCAAACTTCAGTCAAATGAGCAAGATTTTTCTTCCTCCCTTAACACTTTGAATATTTGCGTTAGTTTATTTGCTCTTGAGTTGTCGGATACCTGGTAATTTCAGCTGGTTTTTTATCTCTTAGGTCACACGTGCCTCAACTGTGTAACCTGCCTCAAGTTTCTAGGGTTCATCTTCTACTAACAGGCACTGTAAAGTGATGCTGTTCTGCAGATGGTGTCCTGTTGGTCACTGCACATTCTTAGTCTTCTGGAAGAGGAACTGCCCTGATTACTGTTTTGTACAATACTCATCTATGTCAAGAAAAAGCAGAAAATAACTCTTTTGTCTCTTAGGCTTTAGGTGTGAGACTTTTTGTAAGACACAGCAAGGAAGTGCAGGTCAGGATGAGTTCAGTGTCACCCTGAATGAGGCTTGATGCTGTTTGGCTAGCACTATGTTAACACATATCAATTGACTTTTTCTACACTATTTGCATTATACTTTCCCTATGTGATAGGTGATAGTGTGCGTATGGATATGAGCAACTTCTCTAGCAAAGTTTGTCCACAAGAACGCCAGAAACCACCACTAATGTACATTTACAGAGAAGCTCCACTATACAGGAGATCAAAACAAATAATGCTGGGCAGTAGAGAGGTAGTTCAGTAGCTTGCACTGCAGAAGAAGAGATTTCTGAGGTTGTCTGTTGCACTCAGCCTTTCATTTCAGGCAGTATTTATGGAGTAATGACAACTGTGGTTAATGTGACATGCTGTATTACCATCTCGGTCACTGTTCTGGTCAATACAAAATCGGTGGATGATGTACACCACATATATCCTTGTTTTTTCCTGAAGGTTGTGAGTCTTTGAAATCTGAACTGAACAACACATACAAAGATTTCCAGAAGAAGACGACGGTCAGCTATGTAACATACGTTATAGATACACAGCAGGCAAAATCACCTTCTTTCCATTCTCAGAATGGTACAAACATTGTTAACGTAGGCAAGGGAAACTCAATGTATGGCTACGAAAACGGACCATTGATTCCACTTCATTCATACAGGTAAGTATGCTGTTTGGTTAATTTTGCTGCAGTTGAAATCTAAAAGATCATCTAATAAAAAGATTACAGATCTTGCTTAAGGCTGTTAAAACCATGTAATGCACCTGTGGTTTTTTTCTTCTCCTGTATCAACAGGGCAAGTGTTGCAGGTTTCACTAATATAACCTTTACCACGACCAACATCATTATGGGGGAAGATAGTTATGTATCATTTTCACCCTGTTCTGAGGCAGTTTTGCTACCCCAGGATCCAGGTATAGTTGATGTCAATATAGAACTGGTGGCTTGGCATGTACATGCTGTGTGAATATTCCTTAATTATGGCAGGTTTCATAATAGCAAAGCACCCGTTGGTTTCCCTGTGATGGACTGTTCCTTTCTAGATTTGCAGTGACGTTCATACCTTGCTAGTTCTGCGGGTGACCTCTTTTTTCCATGTATGATTTCCACTATGGAAGTAACCAAAAGCTGTGCTACTTATGGCATGCTAAAAAGAATTGGATGGCACAGTGAGACTTTGGTACAGAAACAAGTAGCGAAAAGCAACTGATGTTCTAACAGTTCTAGTAAATTAGAAGCAGGTGTGTTAGAATGCAAATACTGGTTCTTTGATGCCAATTTTTTGTTAATTTATCATCCTCATTGTGTTATTCTTAATGAGCTTTCAATGCTGATGCTGCCAAAGGACGCAGTAAAGAAAAGATGTTTAGTAGAGCTGAGTGTGTTGTCACTTGCGAGGTTCTCTTGTAGTATGTTGACTGAGATCACTACCAAAGAGGGAAATTGGTAATGACTAATACTTGTTCTCTTTTATCAGGTGTTATTGCTGGAGCTGTTATTGGGTGCCTTTTAGCTATATTGGCTGTAGTCGCTATAGGGGGTTTCATATTCTGGAGAAGGAGAAGGTAATGTATGTTCATTATTGTATGTGTTGTGATGAGGAGCACCAATATTTCACTTCTGTATCATATCTTTCTCCTAAAAAGGCTTCTCTGTTTTATACACTGCTGTCATGATGCTTTAAAATACATTCTATTAAAAAGCTTGTTTGTATGTTACAGATTAGAGATGATGTATCAAACTAGTTGAATGACTTTGTTCAACCCCATAGTTACAAACTAATGAGTTAAGATTTGTTTTGTTTAGCTCTTCTGAATTCATTAAGTAATTCAGTCAGGAGTGAGCAAACATCACAAATGATTGTGCTAAAAGACATATGTACTTGTATCTTAGTTTTATTTGAAAATATCCATTAATCACAATTTTTAATTGCTTGATGGCCTGCCACATGAAACTTCCATTCTGGAGGTTCCAGAAGCTGCTGAGTTACCTAGGGTTTGAGCTGGTCTATCAGTTTCCAATCCTTTCCAAATAATCTGTGACTTAAGAGTCCACAAAGGCTTTTTTCCTGCTTCTGATCACGTGGTACATCTTTTCTAAAGAGTTAGCTGTAGGTGCCTTAGTCCAGTTTTCTTAGTTTCTTCGATTAACTGCTGTTATTCTTACAAGCATGTCCAGTAGCTGTGGACAATAATGCGAAGAGCTTCCTTTAAAGCTAGGAACACCTATTTTCATTCAGCTACCATTTTCAGTACCGCTGATGCATCGCTGTTGAACACTTACTATAGGGGCTCTGGGATTAGTAGCAATTCTCCTGAGATGTTAGGTAGCCGTGCAGATCCCTCGGATGTACTCCTTATACCAAACTATGTGTTTTGTGTTTGGGCGTTACGCTCTGATTCCAACAGAAAGAAACAGTCCCACGGCACAGCATCACTGAATGAAGGATGAAGTATTTTATTCTTGGTGCAGGTGTAAGGTTTGCCTCAGGATGGTTTTCTCGCACAGAATGAGATGCTTTGAAAGAAATCGTTCTGAACAGGCACAGGAAATCGCTGTCATCAGAAATCTCATGTGTGTTCCGTTAAATTCTGCTGTTAACCTATTGTGTTGTTTTCTTTCGCCTTATAGGAAAGATAAAAGAAATACTGAAGTGTCCTTTTCTCCAATTAAGTAAGTCCATATGCTTTGACATATATTGTTTTCTGAGCTCAGGTGATATTTGCAAAACTTACTCTAAACCCTGATACTTGTTCTCTGTGTGGTTTTATATAGAATTTTGCAGTATTAATTCTTCAAGGAATTTAAAGACTCCAGCCTGCAGGCTAAAAATCATCATACTCATTGGGACATCTAAAGCTGCCGCAGGGATTTGAGTGCTCATTTCATGAATTGCTATTAGACACACAAATGCTCCACATAGTTTAGAAAAACAGGATGTTTGGATAAAACACAGGCTTCCGTGCATGTTGAGGAAACAATCCAAATTGTTGATAAAGTGCACATAGGCAAAACTCTGCACTGCGGCCTGAATTTTCTTTTGCTTTGTGCCAGGCCATTAATTTGGATGCTGTTGAGATTGCAAAAGCTGGCCGTGGGAGGGTAACCACAATATATCAGAAGTCACAGGCAGTGCAATTGAATCACATTATTGGTTTTTACACTAATTTTTGTGCTGATGGAAAGGCACGGCCAGAGCATCCCATGAAGTCCCCATCTATGTAGACTTTGATAGTTGACATAAAATACACCAGGGAATGGGGCCAATCTGGTGGGAGCGCAGAAGTGAAGCGGCTGACTGACACCTTCTGCGATATCCTTCTGCTGAAGGATATGCTATTCTCTCCTTGGTTTAACTGATCGGTTAAATGCTATGCCTGATATCCTTTCCCCTGTAAATGCAGTTTTGTGGCTGCTACTAACAGTCATGCTTTCATTCTTAGATTGACATAGTGAAAAATACAGCTGCATGTGTCTAATCAACCTTTTTTTCTTCCCCCCCCACCCTCCCCTGAAGAGTCAAGAAGTAAGTAAAGCACACTTCCTAACACATTAACCGAATTCATGGTTTATTTACCTAATACCAGTTGTTACCAATACATGGCTTTTCTCATCCTAGATCAAAAATGATTAAAGTGGAGAACTTTGAGTCCTACTTTAAGAAGCAGCAAGCTGACTCCAACTGTGGTTTTGCTGAAGAGTATGAGGTATGTGCCCTCAGTGGAGAGAGCTTCACAAGAAACATTTTTGGGAAGGCAAATTTCCTTTGGAGTATACGCGAGGCTGACTGAAGGGGAAGAGAAGGAACCTTTATTAGAGAGATCATTAAGCTGCATGTATAGCCTTCCCTTCCCTGATTCAGCTCCAAATCTAGTTGAAGTGCATGAGAAATCCTTCACATCCTGAACCATTATGCTTATAGCACGGCCTGCTGCTCAGAGCTCATAGCAGAGCCAGGATCTCCAGAGTCCTTGCCCAAGTTGCACTACAGCATTAGCCTGGGTAAAAGCTATTTAACTTCTTTGCGCTTTTTTTTTTTAATCTTGTTTTTGATTTTCTACACGGCAAGATAGGTCTCTTGCTAGTATCACTGCCCCCGTGAATGTATAGGTGTGATTTGCAAATCGTACCTGTGAATAGCTTGAAGGAGCAGTGAGAGAAACAGCAGTTATGATTTCCTTAGTGACCATAACTGTTTTTCTATGAAATGTGCCAAAGCTCAATTGTTAGTATGTATAAAAGACAGGAATCAAGTGTCAGTAAGGATTCTACGTTGTCATGTCTGCTGTTAAAGAATCTAATTTTTTTCATCCTCTTGAACCTATTAATTGACTTTCTTCTTCTTTCCAGATCAAATTCTGTCCCTTTTATTGTACTTTGCAGGCTGGTGCTCTGCCTTGACTTCCTCTCAGATTTTGCTTCCTTCAGTCCTTTCATGATACACTTGCTCCCTTTCTCCCTGTAGTGTCTGCAAAGCTTATGCTAAGTAGTTCACTGCCTTGGCGTCAGAATGAGTGTGCAGTTGATGTCAGTGTTATGTATTTCTGCTAAACTGTTTCTGGGCTTTTAAAGTCCATCTCTGGGTTTTAAACACGCTACTATTGCTACATTCTGTATTAACCCCTTCTCTAGCTGCTTTGCCACTGTCACCCTCCCACTCTTTAAAAAACTGATTTTTATCATCATTTATTCCAGTGTAATGTGCCTACTTTTACAGCAAAGGTCAAGGGTGTTCGGAGTATTTGTCTGTTTCAGTCATGTGTGATGATTCCTAAACCAGGACCAGGTGCTCATGAATCCTTCTTTTATTGTAGGAACTTAAGTCTGCTGGTGTTCATCAGCCCAAATTTGCTGCTGAACTTGCCGAGAACAGGGGAAAAAATAGATACAACAATGTCCTACCATGTGAGTTACTCTCTTTGGTTTTTGCATCTTCTATTGGTTGAGTTTTTAGGTGAAAAACCTTGGCTTTGGCTAATCTGGCTTCAATAGTACCCAAAGGTTTCAAAGAGGGATTAATGTCATCAATTTCCAAATGAATTAATTTGGGCTGCTGCTTACCCAGAAGCACTGTGTAGACCTAAGGAGCTTTCCCTCAAGAATGTTCCCAAACTTTCCCTTAACTAAATAATTTTAATTTTCATTTGTGAGAAACTTGCAGTCTAGATTGAAAAAACAAGAGGTTAGTGGTTGACTATGGACAGGCAGATGTACAGAGCTATGAGAAATATTAAGACCCTGCTGGCCAGCTTTGCAGGCAAACTAAGAGCCTAAGCCCTGCCAAGCTGTCTGCAGGCACCCCAGTGCAGCAAAGTGTAAGAAGGAATTGAAAGGCGAATGGTGACAGGTACATAGGGATGCTCTGGAGGAAAAACATCAGCTGCAGGGGCAGCAGGAGACAAATTACCTAGTTTTCTCCAGTAATTAAAACTATAGTAAATTTTATGTTGGTTAAAAATATATAAACATGCAAAACCAAACCATGTTTTAAAAAAAATAAAAAAAAAAAAAATAAAAAAATCTGTGTTGAGTATTCTGAATCATGTTTCTGGCCACTCATTTTTCTGAAGTCTTTCATTATAAAAATTCTAAACTACTGCTATTTATGATTCCTAAAGTTATGTTCTTATTCTTAAAATGTACATTGTTCTAAACCATGCATCAGATAAGCAGCATTTTGCTGAAAGGTTCTAGTTCTAAAATTCATTATTTTCTTTTCCTTTTTTCTTTCTGCAGATGACATTTCTCGTGTTAAACTTTCAGATCAAAGCTCTGCAACTGGTGATTATATTAATGCAAACTATATGCCTGTAAGTTGCTTCCTCAGGTGAAATGAAATATAATGTGTATTTTTACGATGCAGGCATAATGATGCCTAAAATTAGCTTTTTTGTGTCTCATTGATGCAAGTGTGCATGTGTGTGTATACTTATTTTGGTTTTTTCTTCGTCTTCTTAGGGCTATAGCTCAAAGAAGGCATTTATTGCTGCACAGGGTCCTTTACCCAATACTATAGATGACTTCTGGCGCATGATTTGGGAGAAGAATATCTACTCTGTTGTTATGTTGACAAAATGTGTTGAACAAGCCCGGGTATGTTTTTATTAAAACTGAGCTGTCTCTTGAAGACGGTTGGGTCTCTTCTAATTTTGTTGTTACCATAGTAGGTTGGAGACTGACCACTTTTCTTTTAACTATCATCTACTTACTGGAAGACTGTTTTCTAAATTAAATAAGCCATTTTCCCATTTTTATACTTGCTGACTGCCAGAATAGATTGTTTCAGGAGCGTTGTGGAATCACTGTCCTTAAGGGTGGGTTCTTCTCCCTAAAGAATGATTTTGGTCGAGCTTCTCCTGCCTTGGCATAGGCCGCTGGGAAGGGTGATGTGCTTTCTAGCCCTGCTTCAGGTGGTGTGTGTCTGCTTTGTTGCTGTGTGTTTCTAACCGTGTAACTCTCCTCTTAGACAAAATGTGAGCAATACTGGCCAGACAAACAATCCAAGAGCTATAGTGACATTACTGTGACAATGGTCTCAGAGATTGTCCTTCCGGAATGGACAATAAGGGACTTCACTGTAGAAAAGGTGAGTACCCCCTCAGTTGTTAGTTGTATATAAATACCTGAAGAAGTGGTTTATTGTATCACTGTGACTTCACGTCAAGCAACACTGGAGTGACAGAATATAGTAATTGCACTAAAACATAATCAAATTCAAAGTTATCTGAAGGAAAAGGGTAAGAGTGGTTTATTTTAATTTGAGGCTTTGAATGTATTGGTCTGCTTCCTGCCAGAAGGTTGATTTAAAATCTTTCACGCTATTTACTGAGAACAAGATTCCTGTGATATTTATGTATACGCATTTTTTCCTATGCCCTGGCTTCCCGCAACAGTGTGTGAGTAACATATCCAGAGGTGGGAATGAGTTGTCAGTAAGACCCTCCCTGTGGCAGAAAGGGATCTGCGAGCGAAATCCAGCCTGCTAATGGGAATTACCAATTGCCCCATCAGTGATCCCGCAGCTCTTGTTTCCCTGAGACTTGCACCAAAACTTGTGCTTATGCAGATACTTGTAATATCTGCGAGGCTGAACAATTAGCTCTATCTCTGTCAGCAAATGTAATGCAAGCAGAGATGATCTTGGAGTAAAATGAAAACGAAAAGGAAATTATTTCAAAGTATTCTTTTTGAATTCTTTGAAGGAAGAGGAAAACTGAAATATCATTGGTCAAATTACTGCATGGTTTGTAACTGGCATCTTTAATGAAGCTGAGCTTTGCCCAGCACATACGGCAGGAAGCCTGCTGTTGCTCCTCTGAAGCCTATTTTCTTTTGGTTTTAATGTGTATTCATCTAGGCTGACACACCAGAGAGCCACACAGTGCGCCAGTTCCATTTCACCTCCTGGCCAGATCATGGAGTGCCGGAGACAACGGACCTTCTCATCAACTTCAGACACCTTGTGCATGAGTACAGCAGTCAAAATCCAATCGACTCTCCTACTCTGGTGCACTGCAGGTAAGAACATGTTTGTGTTAGGCACGCTTCTTCGTGCGGTTTTTTAAGAACAATTTTTTTTCAACGTGATCAGAAAAAAAAGTCTCCTTGCTGAAGAACATGGGCTATTCATTCACCCTGCCAAATTCAAACCTTTGCCCCACGCTTCAGAAATATAGCAGTGCCAGGTAGGTAGCAAAGTACATGATACAAAATGTCATCAGAACTGACCGTTTCTCCTAGCCTGGAAAACTTAGCTGAAAAAGTTGCCTTTTCAAGTGCTTTTATATGTGACCGTGTGCAAGTGCAAGGCTGGGAAGCCCCAAAGCGTGTCCTGCCTCCCTCCTGGTGATGGTAAAAGCCACTGCTACGGACTGCAGAGGCTTGTAATACCTGTGCCACTGAAATAATAGAAAGCATCTTCCTAGCTTCACTGACTTTTCATGAGGCCACCGGCGAGCAGTTGGTTGAGAGAAAGCAGTAAATAGCTTCCCCGTGTCATTGCAGTGCTGGGGTTGGGAGGACGGGGACGTTCATCGCTATCGACCGCCTGATTCAGCAGATCGAAATGGAGAATACCGTGGATGTGTATGGAGTGGTATATGATCTTCGCATGCACCGGCCTTTAATGGTGCAAACTGAGGTAAGGCTGTCTTTCATCCAGCAGCATGTTTTTCAAATGTGCGTAATAATCCAGGAAGGGTGGATTTAAGACGTAGCTCAGCCTTAGAGGAAGATGAGATACTAAGGAGCAATCTGAAATTGCTCTTTGTTTAACTTCCCTCCTTCCTGCCTCATCTCTGCCCACAACAGTAGTTGCAGCCAAGGACCGCAGTGTGTCCAAGCAATCTCTTTACAGAGCATTTTATAGGACCGGCATTTGCAGCTAGAAGGACTCAAATCCTGAAAAAGTTTTTGGTTTGGTTTTTTTTTTTTTTTTTTTTGCAGCTTGTTTTACCCATGTGAGTTTTATCTTTATAGCTGCAAGCCAGAATAATCTTGAGTCAAATGGCCTCAGTGTGCATCTTTTCTTCCCTGTTCCGCAGGAACACGTGTTCCTGCAAAAAACCTGCTGAAATTATCACTTTGATCCAAAAAGGTGTGTGGATTAACTCAAACTGATTTGGAAAAGGCTGTACAATCTCTTATCACGAAAGTGAGCATGTTAGGCATGACAGTAAATTTGATCCTAGTTTTTTTAGGGAGGGTTGATCAGATGACATCATGAGGTCCTTTCCAACCCTATTTTCTATGAACTTTATAGACAACTTCTAAAAAATACCCTGTGATAACATTCAGTGCAGTGCATCCAAAAACCAAAACTTATATTCAGGAGCAGAACTACTTCCAAAATCAGGAATATTCTGGAAATGCATTACCCTCCTTTTTCTTTTCCTCCCATCAGGACCAGTACGTCTTCCTAAACCAATGTGTTATGGATATTATTAGATCCCAGAAAGACAAGAAAACCGATCTTATTTACCAAAACATGACAGCAATGGCAATCTATGAAAACTTCACACCTGGGCCAGGCTTCGGGAAGGCCAATGGCTACCACGCATAATCTGGAAGGAACGCGGTGTCTCCAGGAGGTGTTATCTGCGCATAGGAAAGGGAGATGTTCTACTCGTGTTCCGGGATTTTGTGCAGCGTCTCACGTCTGGCTTCTCCAGTTCTGTCTGCATTTGAAGGTGTGATCTACAGGAGGAAAAATATAATGCTGGCAGGAGCTGCAGATTGGTATTAAAAAAACCCCAACAAAACCCAAACCACAAAAACCCAAGCAAAACTATTGAAAGTTAACAGAGGGATCTTGCTTTTTCTTGGGAATTTAACAGTGCCGATAGGTGAAATAGCATTTGCAGTATGAACAGCGAACTAGAATTTAAATATTAAAATAATAACACAAGCTTTTTATTACAATTTTATAAGATTTCATTTACAGACACCAGGCTTGTGGGCTGTTTTAATATATTTAATTATAAGTTTCAGGAACATATTTTATCTACTGTATCTGGTTACTTAGCTAATAGATATGTGCCTCTGTGATTTTTTTTTTTTTTTTTTTCTGTGTTCCTTTTTATTTAAAAAAGGAGTACAAGCAGCTCCTTCAAATGGACATTTATACTTGGAAAGCGTGCCTTTTCTAGTTGCTATTCTAGAAAAAAAAAAACAGCAGAGATTCTATTTTTGTACTGAAACTCTTAATGAAAACACAGATTTTTAAATAAGGCTTATGTCAAACTTAACTGTAGTTGCACTGTTGTTGGCAGGACTCTCCAGAAGTGTGGAGGTGAGCTTCGTTTTTGCATTTCACCACAAATATCCCCTGCCTTAATGTTTCGGTGCCTCTGCTAGAGGAAAAGGAGTGTGGTCTGTCACTCCGGGCTTTAACTATAGTAAAAAACCTGAGCAAGTGAATATGTGATTGTGTGCGCGGGGGTGTGTGTGGGTGTGTATGAAGGACAGAATAGCTCCTCCCTGTTCCTGGCTGATATTCCTGTTTTTATACAATTTATAATGATTTATTTAAAGGTGCAATATATGATTTACTGAATAATGATTACTCTATTCTAATAGAGTTTTACTCAGGTTGGTGTCTTTATCATTGTTGTTGTTTTTCCTCAGATATATAAATCTGTGAAAATGTCGAACTAAGGTTCCAAGTGTCCACGCACTCCCAAACAGATTGACTGGCTTTACTGTTTCTACCAAAACATATTGCACAAAATTCTGCTGTAAAGACCAATTTCTTGGTTGTTTTAGCCATTCAAAACTGAGACACATCTTACCTGCTTGCATCTCGTTGATCTAATGTAATTGTTTTACAATTATTTGCAATATACTGCTGCTGTTGTTTTAACTGGTCCTTTTAAAAACAGAAGCAGCAAGCAGAAAACCCCTAGTTGCTGATTTTACAAGTCAGGGATTAGACTGGACTTATTTTGCTGGTACATAACTGTTAGACTTACGGAGGCATTACCAATGAAGGGCTTCTTAAGTAGCGGGGGTGGGGTGGAGGGGTGTGTGTTTTTTGGTCTTCGGATCATTGCACTGGTTGCATTGCAGAGGAGTATGAAGTTTATGAATAATGCTATAGAATAGCTATAAAGTGCTGAAAATCTTATGAAGGTTTAATAACCAGAGTTCCTGGAATTCTGCTGCTTTTGGGAGGGTTGGGGGGGTGGTTTTTATTTGTTTTAGCAGAGTTGTCAAAAAAGCTAAAGATCCTAGGAGTATATGTGGAACAGTGGAACCTGGCGACCTCGCAGAAACCACTGTCAACTGAAGGAAAATGTAGGAATTCCTGATGCACAACAGTAACTTTACAGATATCCAGAGGAATTTTTTGCAACCTGGTGTGAAATTGTGGTGTGCTGTGTCATCAAAACTGGAGGACAAACCACAGCGCGCTTTTTTTTTTTGTAGCAGCCACTTGTGTGTTCTTGAATATTTTTTTTTTTTTTCTTGCTTTCTCTGGAATACTTTAAGATAAATAAATAATTAAACCCCCCTGTTAATGATCCCACCCAAGTCCATCCAAACTGGCAGTCCACATAGTGGATCTCTTGCCCGATGTTCTTCCTAAGCTGCTGTCAGATGACAAACAAAGATAACCACTTGGACCAAACAGGACCATTCCAAAGGAACTGGGAGGGAGAAAAGTCTGCCCCTTACAGTCACGTTATTTTTCTTCTCTCTTAATCTTTTAATTACTGCACATCTGTGCAGAGCACAGAGCCAGTATTCATTATTCCAGGTCTCCCAAAAACTTGCTGCCTTACGGTGGCGAATGCTCTCTCGCTTCAGAAGGCCCTTGTTCTGTGCCGCACAGAAGAGAGGGACGTGAATCTTCTATGCTAGATCCATGTGTTTGCATTGTACGACAGCAGCACAGCAGAAACTGGCCAGAATGGTGTGTTTCTGCCTACCTGCTGCCCAGATGCTCTTGCAGAAAACAAATGTATCTGTCCCATTGTTGTGATGTTGGAAGCAGGCGCCAAATTCTCACTCGTGTCATCATCTAATGAGTATCCATTTTCAGTACAGCTCTATGCATGTGTTTTCCCCAAAGTGACTCATTGTGAGAAGAGACTGAAGTTTGAAGTAAATGACCTGCTAATCCCAGGTATAGGTGGAAAAAGCTGGTAAGGTGTAAAATGTTGTAAACATGATGTTGGCCGTAGTGTCGATGTGAGTCGGACATACCTCGCAGGGTATCTCTGCAGGAGGAGGAGGAGGATTGCAGGTAATGCTCTGCTACCTTCTGGGTCTGTCTTGGTCAAGGTGACTTGAATTCCTGCAGATAATTCTTCCCTGCCTTCTGATGTTACAATTGCCGAGATCTGTCTCTTTGGTCAGTGTTTTCTCTCATCGTCGCTTACCTAAAGCTTTCCCCTTCTCGGGCTGAAAGCTGTGTCGCAATTACATCTGCAATTCTACATCTGCATCTACATTCTGTTCTTCTCTTTTTTTTTTTTTTTCCCCCCCCATTTGGGGCCTGCTTAAGAAGGGAAAAGTTGATGTGTTTCAAATAAGTGACTGTTGAATATCTTGAAATGATGTACAAATTTTATTGTTTTCATATTTGTTGTACAGGAAATTTCAGCACATGTCTATAATGTTTTTAATGGTTTGATTTGTTTTTAAAGATATAAAAATAACAATTAAAAAGCATCATCCTAGAGCACTTTCTGTCTTGTTTCCTTTCTTGGGGTTTTCAGTTCCTTTTGAATAAAATTAATTTGTCAAAATACCCATTGCTCGCTTCTGAGGTAGGTACAGTGTTCTCCCACTTCTCATACCCACCAGACGTCCATTTACTTTCTTTTTCCAGTCACTGTGTCTCTGCTTCACGAGTCCCTTTCAGCTCTTCACATAAGAGAAGAAACCTTGTGTTGTTGAAACCTCTGGCTTTAAATGGCTCAATTCTCAGCACTTTGCAGAAGCGTTTACGGAGTTGGTACCAAACAGTGTCTCTCTCCAGCATTGTCCTTCGTTCTGTTCTCCCTTCTCTTGGGTTGGGCAAACTCTTTGCCCGTGCCAGCCTCCTGCCTGCAAGGGAGGAGGGGGTAAATAAAGCAGAAAACCTGACTTGGCAGCACCAGGAGGAGCTCCTCCCTGCTGGCTTTGCTGGCAGAAGGGAAGGAGCTGTTCATACATCTCACGTGGGAGGGAGCTGGGCGCCCCTCTTGGACTCTTCCTTAGACCTGAAGAAAAAGATTCAGGATCCAGGCTTGCTCTTTGTCCCCGACATTTAGCAGAGTCCCATTTACTCACCCAAGTTGCTTTTCCTGGGTTTATTTAATTTTAAATTAATAGACAACATCTCCTGGCAGCCAGAGCAAAGCTAGCAAATCGGCTCCTCTCACTGAGAAGAGGCAGCCTGGTTTGATCCAAAGTGAATTACTTTAACTTGTTTTTACCTCCAGCTTCCCAAGTGAGCAGGGGAAAGCCACACTCTGGACATTATGCTAGTTTTTCATGGGCACCCCTAGTGTTGATAGTGCTTGCGAGAAGGTTGCTGGGGACACATGAGCTGTGTGCTAGGGTCAGCGCGCTCTCCACGCACTGTGCCATGTCTCTGCCCTTGCTTCAGTGCAGGGCAGGGTGGGCAAGAAGATACATATCTGCTGTAAGAGATTTCTGGGCTCTTTTTTATTTATTTATTTTATTTATTTCTGGACTTTTTTTAATCTGGCAGGTTACTGATGTGGTGCTTCCAGTGTTGGGAACGTACTATCAGAAGGAGAACAGGCTCTGTGATAAAGGCTGCACAAATGTCAGCTCTGATTAAGGTACGCATTTACCTAGAAGGTGACTGCTGTGTCTCCAGAGAGGAAATACAGCCTGTTCGTTTCTCTCTGCGCCTCCAGATGGCACATGATACCGCTTTTCTTTCCAGGGAAAGCGCTTCCTGCCAGGCTGCTCACTTTTTCACTTCCTTCCCAGATTCCTGTAACCTCCTGCCACCCCACATGCTGTTTCCCCTTCCCTCTCCCCACGCTGTAGGTGCAAAGCCCATCCCCTCCAGCCCTGGCCAACGTCCCCTCCAGCCCTGGCCCGTGTCAGCAGTTGAGCCCAGGCCCCTGTGCCTATGGGAGGCTGTCTGCCCGCTCCGTGGGGGCTGGGTACCTCATGCTCATCTGCAGAGCGTTGTACACCTGATCAGATGGCTTTTTGCAGAAGCTCTTAAGTTCAGCAATAGCCTGACAATGCCAAATATCCCTTTGCTTCCCTGGGGAGTGCTCTTCCACTTGAGTCCTGCTGACACCTGGACATTTTCTGGTGGTGCTGTAGTCCAAGGTGTCAAGGCTCTGGCTTTGACCAGCCTGGAGCTGGTTATGCAGCGCCGTTGGCTCTGTGCTCATTTCCCAGCTTATCAGTCTGTTCTGCAGCTGTTCCCAGCAATAACAGATTTATAGGACTGCTGAACACAGGGCAGATACATCAATAATGAGCAAACAATGATGTGCTTGCTCGTACTGCTCAATATGAATAACAGTTAAAAGTTAATGGGTCTGTTTATGTCTGTGTGTGTGTATAACACTAACTGTGAGTCTTTCATGCCTTCTTTTACATAGGTCCTTAGGGAGGTTTTAAATCCACCTTTTAAAGCATCCGGCAACATCTGCTGAGCTACTTTGGCTTCTTCCATCTCCAGCCTGAAACGCACTGAGATTTCAGTGCAGAGCTCTAGTGATAGATACATTTTTTATTTTTCTTTATAAGCACAGCTATAATGGAGATGGGTGTGCAAGCGAGCTTCAGCAAAATGCTCTAAATCTACTGGAAGATGTTGTCTGAAACTACCCAGCTGCTTACAAACCCTTCCACCTTTGAACGAGGAATAAATCTAAAACCAGAAATAACATTTCGCATCCGAACTTCCCATGCTCGTATATCACCATTGGTCCCGTGATCTGAGCGGGGTCTGTCCTGGCTGAACGGCTCTTGTCTGCCGCCCCCTGGCCCCAGCGATGCTCCCCAGCGCTGACGGTGATACGCCAGGTTGGCACGTGCTGGAGGGAGGATGAGCTCCGAATGCCATTTGTAGGCCAGTTACCAAAATACTGAGAAAAATTTCTGAGCAACAAGGACTAATCAAACCTTTAAAACCATTGTAATTTAATAATAAGCCATGTCTAAAGCTATTGGACTGTTTTTCCTCTGCATGATGATCTCCTAAAATGTGACTGAGATGCCAGCAAAATAGATTTCACAGTGTTAGCTGCAGCGAGACCATCAATATTTTCATTTCTCAAGCTCACTGTCAGCATGCTAGTACCAGTCGTGTTATTTCTGTTAAGACCCTTGATGCTGCCACTTGGTGTTTTGAAAATGAGCTTTTCAGGGCTTTAAAAAGTATTACCTTTAAAAAATGCCACCAAACAAAGATTTGAAGAGTTCCACAGTACCTGAAAAGAATCATTCTTGGGAATTTCTTTCCATTTTATTTTTCTACCATTTCGACATTTTTTTAAAGCAATTTAAAGTAAAGGTGACTGCTTCCATCAGGATTTAAGAGTGTATTGCATTTTCGTTTCTCTAAAATGTGTTTTGTAATCAAGGGGACTGAAATACTGAGAAATCCCAAGAAAGCACCAATTTCAGTCACATGTGGAACACGACCTTATCCCTGTTCCTCTACCCTTGCAAGTCAGATGAGAGAGGGAACGGAGGCGTACCCAGAGCAAACAGCCTGCACAGGGCCTTGGCAAACCAAGCTAGCTCTTTTTTTTTTTTTTTTTTTGGGGAACTAACATTTTAAAAAGTATTGCCTTTAAAAAATGCCACCAAACAAAGATTTGAAGAGTTCCACAGTACCTGAAAAGAATCATTCTTGGGAATTTCTTTCCATTTTATTTTTCTACCATTTCGACATTTTTTTAAAGCAATTTAAAGTAAAGGTGACTGCTTCCATCAGGATTTAAGAGTGTATTGCATTTTCGTTTCTCTAAAATGTGTTTTGTAATCAAGGGGACTGAAATACTGAGAAATCCCAAGAAAGCACCAATTTCAGTCACATGTGGAACACGACCTTATCCCTGTTCCTCTACCCTTGCAAGTCAGATGAGAGAGGGAACGGAGGCGTACCCAGAGCAAACAGCCTGCACAGGGCCTTGGCAAACAAAGATAGCTCTTTTTTTTTTTTTTTTTTTTGGGGAAAAACAAAACCCTCTAAGCACTCCATTAGAAAATGGTGGGACAGAGAATAGGGAATCTGAAGATACATGGATATCAATCAGTAATATCGCTCTAAACTCTCTGCAGATTGTAACCTGAGCTATCTGGAATAGAAGACAAATTATTGTACCACCGATAGCTCTCCTAGATGTAGATTTTGGTACTGAAATAGGTCAATACATGTAAGACGTGTTTTTTCCACAGTATTCTCTTCCCTGATTTATAGATTTGAGTTAGGGCCTTATTCTAAGCAGCTGTGGAAAGTGTGCGCTTTTTCCTGAAGAGCGTTGCACAGGGCCATCCACCATGTGTATTTAGGTATTCAACTTTCCATTTCACAGAAATTAGAGGGGTTTAAAATTTTTTTTGCCCCTAGCCAAGTTATTCCAATGTGATGTAAGTGTGCATGGCTGGGTAGGCTGAAATTTTACAGATCGGTCTGGGGAAGGCAAAATGTTACCACCAAAGCAGAGCCTTAAGCCTTTCTCAAAGACACTGGTTTTAAATGAGGTCAGAAGTACATGGAAGTATTATTCTATAGAATATGGCCAAGTGGTTCCAGATGAAACACGCCTGTAGTCACAATTTATTATGTAAAGTGATCAACATGTTTTAAGTGCTTTTACTAGGTAGAGCCAGAATCCACGTGAATGCACAGCCACCGGCACCCTGGTCTGCAGAGGCTGCTCTCTCTGCACTTGGAGAAAACACGACACCGCAATGTTACCCAGGATTGGACTTCTCCTCAGCAAACATTTCAACTTTCAAGGACTTTGCTATTTAGTTTATTTTGGAAAATGCAGGTTGGCTCTGGGGGAGTCAAGCTGGCTGCTTTCTGAGCTGGGGACAGAGCTGCTGAGGAGGGCTGGACCATCTCCCGATGAGAGTTCACAATCAATGATATGGCTGGAGGCAGGAGATAAATACAACCAGCAGCTGAGTGAGGCACAAGACAGCAGTGTGATGATCATGGTCACCCTGATAAGCAGCATTTGCAATCGTCTACCATTTTCTAGACTTCTTAGATACAAAATTTTGGGGAAACATTTGAAGTCAGTTTTGCAAAATGTTCACAAGTAGTTCCTTTCAGGAAAATGGGTGGAGTGGGAATAAAATCAGAGGGGTTTCTGGGCAATTCAAAGCCCGGACAATGAATGTTGGTGTCATCAGCAAAGACACACAATTACCTATGAAATACCACAAAAAGGACTGTCAAAATGAATTGACATCTTTGCCAGCAGCTGCGTTGTGGGGCTGAATCACTTTCCCAT